TATGACGCAAACGGATATATTTGTCAATCGTGTCTTGCTGTTTCTGTCGCACCACCCTGGGGCCACAAATGCAGGCGGCGATCGAGGCAGCGCAGGCGATGTTGGACTCGAATTCAGCCAACTTCGGCCGCAGAGAAACGACATTGAGAATAACTGTGCTCTTGGCGCCAATCACATCAGCAGCACGCCATCAGCAGTTTCCTCATCGCGAGCAACCTCCCGCCAACGACCCGCGCGACAAACAACGCCTTCGGCGACGAGGGGCGACTCGGAAGCTCCGCGCCCGCAGGGGTCGACATCTCCATGCACGCCGCCTTAGTCCTCAATATCGGCGCGACGAACACCTCCACGTCGCAGAACGGTATCATCCAGATGATCGACACATTTACGCACAGAGCCCTTGTCGGAAGGGTCAGCATGAGGAACGCCTGCGCGGAGACGGGCAGTTTCATCAATATCGGCATTAACCAAACGACCGACATGAACAACATCAGCCATGCGCTCGGCTGAAGCGTTAGGTAAGTGACGAAGAGCAGGCGCTTCATGTAAGGACACCCAGAGATGATGATGCTGATGATGATGATGATCATGATGATGATGATGGTGACGATGGTTCTCCCAATCGCGCGCGAAAGAGCGGTCTCCGCGCGGGCGCGCGGCGCGCGCGCGAGCAGCCCGGCAACGTCCGGGGCCGACGCGCGCGCGAACCGAGCGGCACTGCTCAGGCGGACTAGGTCGCGCCTTGTCGCCGGAGAAGGCGAACTTGCTGCCCCCGGGCCCAAAGACGTTGCGACATGACAAGGCCTTGGTGGGCGGCCCCTATTCGGGCGGACCGCTCGAAAGGAGTTCGCACCCAAATAAGTAGCGACAAGGCGGTCGCTGGCAGTGGCGAAGGAAGCTGCTCGGGCGCGCGCGGCCTCGGGGAGGGCACCCGGGTCGTTGGAGGCGGCGGCGGCCGAGCCTCGCAAGCAAGAGGGCGGCGGAGCGCCGCCAGCTGACCGTCGGGGGACAGGGGTGCCCAAGGCCCTCAGCAGATGATTCCACCGAGTGCGGAAGCCACTACGCCTAAACGGGGCAAGCGGATCGGCGCGGCTCAAACAACCGAACACCTCATCCCAAACCCGGACAGCCGTACTGTCCGAACAACGCGCGCTTTCGTGCTGGGCCCGACGGTGATTGGGCGCGGCAAAGGAGAGGATGGCGGCGCCGGACGCGCATCCACCTCCCTCATCCGCGTCAGAGCGGTCGCTCGGCAGTGACATGTCACAGCGACGCACGAACAATAATTCCCTTCCCCAGGTTCATCGTGAACCCCGCGAACAGCAGGGCTGCCGCAACGGGCCAATCCCATGAGAAGCGTGGGCCCACCGTCGTGCGCATAAGGGCGCGGGGCAGGCGCGTCGAAGCTTCCACCTCGGAGTGGACAGCGCGCCCGCTGGCGGCGAGAGGGACTTCGCTGGGGCAGCCCATGCCGACCGAAGAAGACGACCTGGAGGTGGCCTCGCTGCGCGCCGCAGGCGGAAACGCTCGGAAGCTGCCGGGGGAAGTCTCGACGTCCGAATGGGCGACTGCCCCGGGCCCCCGCCGGCAGCGCGCCCCTCCCCCTGCAGGGGCCGTAACAGCATCGCTGGAGAGGAGGGATGGGGGCGGGCTCCTCGGCCGAGGAGGACCCGTCCGAAGTGGCCGCAGCGCCGCGCTGGCGCTCGCCTGAGAGCCGGGAAGGGAGTCGGCGGCCGCGCGGAGGGCAGCGGCTCTCTCGCCTGTCGCAGGCCCCGCTTCGGCATCGAGGCAGAGCTGGTTCGCGAGCGCGACGGCGCCCCGCGTCCTCGCAGCGCTGACCGCGGCGATTGCGCTGACGGTCTCGTCGGCGGCGGAGCGCGCAGCGGCCAGGGAGGGGGCTCGGACCGGCCTCGGCCTCAGCGCGGGCAACCGGGCCCAGACGCAAGCGACGCCTGGCTCGGAAACGGATCCGACTGCCTCGCGCGACCCGCTCCACTGCCACCCGAGCGCGGGCAGCCGCGCCGCCGAGAGGAATGAACCGCGCTGCCTGGGCGGTTAGCTGCCAGATCAACAGCAACTCCTCTGCCAGCCTGAGCGGGTGCCTCAGTGGGAGGCAAGTCGGACCTGGGGAGAGGCGCGTGCAAATCCACGACCGCGCGCTCGTCGAGGGATCGAGGCTCCGCCCCGCCAGCGCGGCCTCGGGGCCGAGGGCGACATCGCTCTCAGCCTTGCGTGGCGCCCCCCCAAGGCTGCCCGTCTCCTCCATCTCCTCGGCGGCACGCGCCACTCCCTGCAAGGCCGAACCAGCATCGCTGGAGCGCGCAATGCCAATCGAGGGGGAGGACGGCAGCCCGCCTCGCTGCGAGGTGACGGGGAGCTTGTCACGAGCCTGGGGCCCGCCTCGACCGCGCTTCGGCGGGGGCCGGGTTTTGGCGAGGGCGCTCTGGGGCGCGCTGGCCGCGGGGCCCGCCGGCCCCTGCGCCCGTCCGGCCAGCTGCCGACGCGGCGCCGCCGTCGGGCCAATCGGCGCCCGCGGAGGCGCCGGCCCCGCCCGCGAGGGCCCCGCGCCGCCGCCGCCGGGCAAAACGGCGCGCAGCGTGGGGGCCCGCGTCGGGCCGCGCGCCGCAGGCGAGCTGGCTGCCCGTCGCGGCGGTGGCGCTGCGGGGTGGCCCTTCGGATGGATCGGCCGTGCAAGATCGTCCGCCCGGCCGTTGGCGGCTTCGCTCGGGGCCGCGCCCGCCCAACGCTGCGCGGCAGCGCGAGGAGGCCGCCCAGGGCGGAGAGCCCGCGGGCGGCTCGGGCCCCCGCGCCGCGCGAGCGCTAGCGACGGGGCAGCGCTCGGGGCGCGGCGGCGGCGGACCCCGCGGCGGCTCGAGCGGCAGGCGAAGGCGGCGCCCTCGGGCGCGCCGCAACGCGTGCTCCTGGAGCCAGAGCCATGCTGTGCGAGGCGGTTCGGTGCGCCGCTGCGCGGGCTGCGGCGGCGGCAACCTCGTTGCCCCGCGCGGCCGCGGGGCCGCCCGCCCGCGCGGTTAGGTGCCGAGAGACCAGGAAGTGGCTACAATTCAAGGCGCGGAAAAGAAAAGGGGCCGCAAGCGCTGATTTGTCCAATGATTTTTTTGAAAGAACTTATGTTTCTATTGTTTTTTTTCGCAAGCGCTGATGTATTTGCAAATTCCGTTGCAATCCGAAGCAAATGTGCGCGCCTTGCTTGTGTGTTCGTTGTTGCGTCCTTCGGTTTAAACGCAAACGTCGTGCATCGTTGAACATCGGTCGTGCAAGCGGTTACACGTGTATATCATGCGCGGGCGGCTCGTTTTCAAAATGTGGCTCTCGCTTTTCTGCGCGTCGCGTCGGGGGTTGTCGTCGTCGTCATCCCGCGCGGCCCGCCTTCCCTCCAATCCCTACGCTGTAGAACTACAGCCCCGCACCCGTTCTATTGCGCAGGAAGGAGGGCGACGATGCCGACGACGATCACCCCGACAAGAAGCGAGGACGAGGAGGGATACGACGAAGAGGAGGAAATGGAGCAGGACGAGAAGGCGGAGGGGGGATCACGGGAAGGAGAGGGGGCGCGGGAAGTGGAGCGGGGTCCATGGACGAAGGTAGGGCTGCGTAAACATACCACAGCAACGCGAGCGGAAGAAGGCGGATACATATATATATATATATATATACACACATATATATATACATATATATATAGAGAGAGAGAAACAACCATACATATATATAGAGATTCCTGTCTTACGGCAGGGCCTCCCCCTACGGGGTCGCGGAAACGTGCGACAGCACTCTGGATTCCATCTTTCGCTCTTTTTCAGACGGCAACAAGAAGGCAAGCGCCGCGGTGACATCCACGGATGGTTCTCAAGAAGAAACGGCCGCAAGGCCAGCTGCAATTCAAAATCGCACCTCCAGAGAGCCACACCACCAAGTGTCCAGGTGCGTGGGGGAGGCGGGTGGGAGCTTTAAGCCAGAACGGTTTCGGCGAGACAGAGAGCGCAGGCGGAGCGATCGTGCGCTCGGAAACTGTCGAGGCCCTTCAATCACAGGAAAACCAGTCAGAGACAATTCATTCCTGTCTTACGGCAGGGCCTCCCCCTACGGGGTCGCGGAAACATGCGACAGCACTCTGGATTCCATATTTCGCTCTTTTTCAGGCGGCAACAAGAAGGCAAGCGCAGTGGTGACATCCACGGATGGTTCTCAAGAAGAAACGGCCGCAAGGCCAGCGTGAAATTCAAAATCGCACCTCCAGAGAGCCACAACACCAAGTGTCCAGTCCCATCCCCATACAAAATGCCTGCCCTAGGGAGGGCGGGTGGGAAATAGAAGAACAACCTAGTGGCGTCGAGCGCCAGCCGAGGCCAGATGGACGAAATCTGTGCCAGCAGCAAGCAACGCGGTCAGGCACATACCCGACGAAGCATGTCTCGAGCTCGCGCCTCCGAGAACTTCTGAGCGTTGGCAAGCAGCGAGGCCGAGAGTTTCGAACGCTGCCGAACCGCGCTGCCGTGCTTTTCATAGATCCTGACACGTTCACGGGCGCTCCAGCGCCCTCTAGCCTGAATACTTGAGATGGGCCTAACGTCGTGCAGGGCGTCGTGCGAAGGCCCACCATGGCGAAGCTGATGGGGCGCTGACAGAAGCTCTACCACTCCCGCGGTGACAGCCGCGGCCTTCGAAGCTTTTTCGCACTGTACGAGAGAGAGAGAGAGAGAGAGAGAGAGAGAGAGAGGGGCGAAAAGGGTAGGGAGGCCTTGCCGCCGCGCCCGGGCACGGAGTCGAGACAAAATCTCAGGCACCAGGCGACGGAGGGGCAGGTCAATGCCTGCTTTCACTGCGCTATTGAAGTCGCGATTATTTGTTGGCTTGTCTTCGTTCAACGGAGCAACAACGACAGTGATATCGGCGGAGGGTCCTGAGCATCGCGAGCCAAACACATGTTCAGGCTTTATCGAGAGGAGCTCGCTGGGCCGAAAATACATATCAAACTGGACCAAGGCGCCAAGTGCGACCAGAAAGTCAAGGCCCGTGCCGTTGTCTAGGACAGAGCAGACAAGCTGAACGGCCTCAAACGGGGGCGGATCGCGCACGCACGGCGGGATCTTGGCCGACCAGCCAGCCAGAGCATCCTTCGCCCTTTGAAAGTTCGGCCTGGCAGCAGACCAACCTCGCTGCTTACGCAGACCATACAGGGCCAAGCGGCCAACGTACTGCGGTTCGCCCGCAAAGAACAGTTCCTCGAAGTATGGATTCAAGGCCGAGTCGGCCTCATGTGGTGAATTCAAAGGGAGACCACGCTCCTGCGCAAACACTTCGAGGGCAGAAACCGCATTGCGATAGCTGGCGAGCGTCGCAGGACGCAAGCTGGCCAGCCGAAGGTAGTCTCCGGGACCAGCCTCGCGATCGGCTGCCGCGGCGTCGCCGCGAGCGGCGGCGTTAGCGCGCCGCTGCCTCTGTGCCTTGGCCAGCGGTCTCGGCACCGGCGCCAAGCGCCCGTCGGGCTCTCTGGCGCGCCCAGCGGCTGCCCTGCCTGGAGAAGCTGCGGCCGCTGCGTCGTCCGATGCTCTTGGCGTCCAGGTCGACGGGCGAGCTGGCGAGTGAGCAGTCGCCGCATCCGCGGCTTCGGGTCGAGCGCGGAGGTCCACCCTGGCCGCCAGGGGAGCCGAAAGCGCTGCGGGCAGATCGGCGCCGAGACGGCTCGGGGCTCTCGGCAGCCTGCCGCGCTCGCCAGCGCGTGAGCCCTGCCCTGGAGCTCTGTCGCCGTGGCTCGGCCGAAGGCGCCGCGCGGCGCATTGGGGCCAGCCAGGGACACCGGCAGCCGGCACCAGCTCGGCAGGTAGGCGCTCGCGAGGGTCGTCCGCCACACCCAGCCTCGAGTAGGATGCCGGACCTTCCCCTGAAGCTCAACGCGATGCCGACCGGCACAGCAGCAGCGAAGCCCCAACGCCTCCAAGCCTGGCAAGCTGCCAGCGATCGCGCCCGGCTTCTTGAACGGAGCCCCGAACCTGCACGAGTCGAACAGCACCTCGGGGCACTCGAGGCGCCGGAGCTCCCGCTCGAGCGCAGGCCAGCGCCAGACGCGGCTCGCGGGCGGGTTCTCAAAGGTCGCGAAGATCCCACGCCGCCTGCACAACCGTAGGACGCGGACAGTGAACGAGACCAGGACGCGATCCACAGGCAAGGGGTCGCGATTGCCTCCCACGGGCGCCCAGCGCGTGCAGGGGAGTCCGAGGTGAACCCACCAAACCTTGCCACTCTCGAGCCAATGAAGCACCAGACGCTGAACTTTCGGAAGTGTGAGGTCACAATGGGGGCCCATCTTGATGTCCACCGGGGGCAGAACTCGAAGGCCTCTTTCATGCAGGGCTCCAGTGAGGTTAGCAGTGCCAGCAAAGATCTCCAATAACGCCTTACAACCACGGCCAGCCCGAATAAGTTCAGGAGGCCCAACCCCAAGACGTCGAGCATCCCCAAGACGATCACCCAGTCGTTGACGAGCTCCATCGGGGTCCTCTCGGGGTCCCGCGGGTAGAACGTGTAGATCACCAGGGCCTTCGTATGCAGCTCCCTGCGCGTTACGGGTCCCGAGCGGGTCCTCCTGAGGCTTCTCATGACTTTCACAATCCTGACAACGGGAGCAATCATGCTGATGTCGAGAGGAAGTATCGGAGCGTCTCTGGGTCCAGCTGATTGGCAACGCAACTTCAGAAGGTGCTGAATGAGAAAAAGTGTGAGTGTACAGCGTCTGAGATGGTAAAGCAATCTGACTAATCTGACTCTTTGTATTTTCAGGCCGCAGAGACACGGCCCTTCTCCCGTCGATCTGACAGACCTGCGCCCGCGAGGGCCGAACCACGGGCTCGCGGCGGCTGCGCCGCGTGGGCGCCGAGAGGGCCCCTCGCCCCCGGTAGCGCCCAGCTCGTAGCTCTCCGCGATCTGCCGCCCTGCTGCCGTGGTCCGCGACGTTCTGGACGCCGGGGACATGCCTGGGGCGCCGGCGAATCTCGCAGCCCAGGCACACTGCAGCAGCGCGGCGACACTGCGCCAGCAGCTCAAAATTGGTGGCCCTGCCCTTCTCGAAGGCGAGGACCGACGACATGTTGTCACACAAGCTGAGGATCTCGGTGCCGTGGAACTGCACATCGCCTGCTGCGCGCCACAGGGGAGCGACGGCGGCCCGCGCCTCCAAGGCGTGAATCCGCCCTGGGCAGCGCCACGCACCTCGGCGCCGCTCCGTCCAGCGCGCGGGATCCAGCAGCGCCTCCGCCAAGGGCTCGGGCCGCACCCCAATCTCGAGCTCGACTCGGCGCCGCCGAGCGACGGCGTGTCTGAGCCTTGGCGGGGCCTCCAGAGGCAGCGGCTCGGAGACGTCGAGCAGCCCCGCCACGCGCCCTTCATGCACCTCCGTGCCGGGCGCGATCTCCACCTCCGAGGAAACGAAGCGCTGGCGCTCCCGCCAACGAGTGGTAGCCAAGATCTCCCACGGCTGCAGGCGTGCCTCACATACTGCGTAGCCGTGCATCGAGCTGTCGGTGGTGAAGGCGATGTCCGACGGCACCCTGCACATGTCGACCTCGCCCAGGAAGACCAGGCCGGCTGCAGTCGCCAGCTCGCCCAGCACCTCAGGGGGCACGCGCGCCACCTCGGCCAAGTCGCCGCTGGAGATGTGCGTGTAGCAGGCGCCCAGGACACTGAGGCCAGGCCGCAGCACCGAGAAGTAGCGCACGATGTGGCCCACGATCCGCCGAAGCTGCCAGCGCGCCAGCCAAAAATGCCGAAGTACGTGGTGCAGCGCCAAGTAGAGCCGCCAGGCCCGCTTCGGCGTGTGCCGGAGGCGCCCCTCGCGTCCATCCAGCACCATCCCGAGGATGACGAGCCCAGGCTGGGCTTTCTCCAGCTCGTGCCAGCGCAAACCCCGCCTATCCAGCTCGGCCGTGAGCCTGTCCAGGCGGTCGTCGAGTGCCGGCGCGCTGAGCGAGACCAGGTTCCCGTTGTCGACGTATGGGGCCCTGACGACCGAGCGCCCAACAAGTGTCGGGGCCTTGGCCTTGTCAAGACACCAGCCATCGCCAGGGGGCCCCGCCGCGTCCATCGCGTCGACCAGCACCTCGTGGCAGATCCAGAGCGCCCAGCTCCAGCCCATCGGCAGCGCAGCGAAGCACGGCCAGATGACCTCGTCGGGGGCGACACCGACCCTGTGGCCAAGCTGGTCGTCGAAGAGCGAGTCCACCCCCAGCTCGTCGGCGGTGACCTCGATATCGAAACACATCCAGCTGCCCCAGGCGGGGTCGGCAAACTGGTAGAAGCCGTCCATGAGGTCCACCGAGCCCGCACAGAGCGACTCGAAGCAGCCGTCGAAGTCGGCCAGGTCCTCCGGCGAGGCGTCGATGGCATCCAGCAAGTTGATCGAGCCCAGCGCCTCGCCCGAAGCGAGCACCGTCCGAGGCGGCAACTTGTGGAGCTGGTTCGGCTGGCGGGCGTCCACCACCATGCGGATGTCGCCGTTCTTCTTGGCCACGAAGAACGTGCTGACGCAAGCCTTTCGTCTTCGGCGGCCGTCGACCAGTCCCCGCTCTGCCAGGCGCCGCAAGACATCCACGAGCCTTGGGCGGTTCCGAGGGTCGCGGGGGTTAAGCAGCGGGTCCCAGTACGGCTCCACGATCTCCTCGTCGTCGGGGATGTTAGCTGCTGGCCGCACCACGTCCACGTTGAAGTTGTCCAGGACCTCGGAGACGTGGCGCGGGGCCACTCCGCGAAGCTGGCGCGGCTGGTCGCTGACGGGACGTCGCAGCACGTTGAGCTTACCAGCATCATAATCACGGCGCGTAGAGCTCTCGCCCATGGCCGAGTACAGGTCCTTGCACTTGAGGAGCTCCTGAAGGGCTCCAGCAGAGTCCATGTCCTTCGGGCGGTCGCCGAAGCTGCGGACGCGACGTCGGACTCGCTTGATGACCGACTCCTGCGCGGTAGTCGGCGTCTGCTTGCCAGGCGCACGAGGCTCGAGGCGCCCTCCAGCCCGAGCGGCCGCCAACCCGTTGAGCGCCCCCATCGCCTCGAGAGAACGACGATCGCGATCATCAGCACGAGCAGCACGCTGAGCCAGGTACCGAGGCAAAGCGGCACGTTCTCCACGACGGGCATGGCGATGGAAGTCATCACCCCGAGGCAGAGGAAACAAAATTGCGGGCGAAGTCCTGCCCTCGGAGGAGGCCCCCTCGGGGGGATGCCACCCCTGGCGCACGTCGGCAGTCGCGGCGCCAGGGGTGGGCGGCGGGAGGCCAGGCGGTGAGCCCAGCCACATCGGCGCCTGCCCGGCGCCGTCAGCCCTGATTCTTGGAGCCCGCCTTCGCCTTCGCCTTCTCCTTGGGCGTCGGCTTCCGCGGCGGCCTGTCGTCGTCGGCCCTCTCGAACCTCCTCGCATCCGATTGCTGCTCCTCGCGGAACAGCCTCTCCTGCTTCAGGATGACGCCCTGTGCCTTCTGCTCCTCCGCGACGAAGGCATCGAAGCGCGATGTCACCACGCCACCACTCTCGTCAGCGAACTGCTCAGCATCAAGCCAAGGCCCTCGAAGCTCGGGTGTCGGGGGCACCGCTACACCGCGCGCTGGATCTGCAGCACTCTCCGCCCCAAGAGCTCGAAGGACGCCAGGTTTGACGTGTCGAGGAGGTCGAATGTGACGCCGTGGTGCAACACATTCAGCAGGTGCCGCGTCTCCATGGCCACCGCCGCACTCCGCGAGACCCCGGACTCTGACACCCAGAAGCCCCAGTAGGAGGTGAGGGTGAGCCCCGTGGCGAGCACGGCGCTGAGCAGCTCGGGCAGGGCGCGGGGCCCACGGAAGGGCCAGTCGTCGATCTCGATCGCGCTCATCTTCGCCAGGGCTTCGGCGAGCATCACGGGCTGTCCAGGGGCACGCCTCGAAAGCGACGAGATCCTGGGGTCTCGCCCTGGGCCGCGGCGCTTCTCGGCGCGCCAAGCCTCCTCGTCGCGCTCCTGGACATTCTCCACGGAGACCCAGCCCTCCTCCTCGCTGAGCAGAGCGATGCCCACCGCACCCCTGAAGATCAGCCTCTCGGGGTTCCCGACGATGTGAATGTCCAGCTCCTTCCCGAAGTCCAGCGACCCAGGGTCCGAGACGATCCAGCGGGGCAGCAGAGCGCCAGGCGCCGCCGCGGGCGTCGTCGCGCCCATCACCACCGCCAGAGCCCGCGCCTCGACACGGAGCGCCTCGATGTCGTCCGGGTCGGTCTCCCCGAACGCGTACACCTGCCCCCGCGCCCTCTGCGGGAAGGCCGAGTCGCGTCGGAGAGCGACGACCAAGTGCCCGCTCAAGTCCAGGACGAGCACCTCTCCGTCCGGGCTCGCCGCGACCCAGACGCCTGGGCTGAGCTGCACCAGCAACAACCGATGGTGCCACCTGAAGTTGTCGTCGTCGTCGAAGTTGACGCGCACCTGCGACTCCGGCGCGTCGAGAGTGCGAAGCGCCGCCATCGCGTCTCAGTCGCTCAGGCGCGCACCGCGCGAAACCCGCGCCGCGCAGCCAGCGAGGCCTGCTGCCCGTCGTCGTTCACGAGGGTGACCTCGCCCTGAGCGGGACGAGGCGTCGCCGGGCCCCCGAGGAGCTCCGCGACCCAGCGCGCCGCGCGGACCACAGCGCGGCCGCCTCCGCCAAGCAGGAGGCCCGCGGCCAGGGCCGCCCCCGCGGCCCACCAGCCCGGCCCGCGCAGCTCAGGCTGCACGCCAGGCAGCTCGGGCACGTCCCGCAGCTGACCGCCGGCGGCGGAGGGCAGGTCGGGCAGCTGCCGCAGGTGGCGCGAGCCTCCGGGCGCGCCGGGCACTGCGTCAGCCAGGCGGTCGCCACCGAGGCAGCCCAGGGCCCGGCAGCCAGCCGCGGGAGGCCCATCCGCTCCCGGGGCCCCACGATCAGAGCTTTAAGCCAAAACGGTTTCGGCGAGACAGAGAGCGCAGGCGGAGCGATCGTGCGCTCGGAAACTGCCGAGGCCCTTCAATCACAGGAAAGACAGTCAGAGACAATTCAGGAATAGAGAGAGATAGAGAGAGAGAGGGAAATACATAAAGAAATAACAAACAAGAGAGACTGAGAGAGAAAGGGAGAACGAGAGAGAGAGAGAGAAACATAAGACAAAGAGAACGAGAGAGAGAGAGAGAGGGAGAGAAAGAGAGAGAGAGAGAGAGAGAGAGAGAGAGACAAAACAAAAAAATAGAGAGAGATATATATATATATAGAGAGAGAGAGAGAGAGAGAGAGAGAGAGAGAGAGAGAGAGAGAGAGAGAGAGAGAGAGAGAGAGAGAGGAAGAAATAACAAAATATGAGGGAAAAGGAAAGGAGACGGAGGAGGACGTTGAGGAGCAGGAGCGGCAGGGCAAGGGAGAAGGGGGGAGGAGGGGCAGGGGGGCAGGAGGAGAGAGCAGGGGGCGGAAAGAAGTGTGGACGACACCGCGACGATGACGATTCCGACGGCGGTGGCGGCGGCGGCGGCCAGCGGGGCCGGCGCGCCTCCGCCGACCGCGGAGCCCGTCAGGGGCGGCGGGGGCGGCGGGGGGGGCGCCCTCCTCCTCTTCTCTTTCCTCCTACTTCTCACCTGGTCCTAATCGTCGTAGTTGTCCTATTCCTGCCTCCTTCTCGTCCTGCTCATCGTTGTTGTTGTCGTGGACCTCGCCCTACCCCTTGTTTTACTCCTCTCGCGGTTTCTCTCCGAGGTCAGTGGTCATCCTCCGTTGTTTGTTCCTACTCCTCATCCTCCTATGCGTTTCCAACTGCGTGCATTTAAGTGTGTAAGCGTTTGAAACTGTTCATGTTTTGATGCTTGCGCATATAACTTTATTTAACTGTTATTCCGACATTCGCGTATTCAAGTTCGTCGTTTGTTGGGGATATGTACGATAAGCTTCGCGCCACCGTGACTCGTAATTGATGCGGACAACAACTAATTTTTCAGGCGGCCTGAAGCTCGATTTTGAGTCGATCCGAAATCAACGTTCAGAAGTAACCAGCTTGCACAGTACGATCAACATGCCACGGGGCTCTTACTCTGCCATGTCGTCGCACAGCAAACGCACATCCAGAGGCATCGCTCACTGCAAAAATGGCGGGTCTGGCGGCCAGGGTGGCAGCGGCAGCAGTCGGGATCTCTCAGCCATTTGTTACTCAATCTCACGATGCGTCATTGAAGTATTCGTTCAGCTTCATGCCGCGGTTCTCCCACTTGGGATCATTGCCCTTGCTCTTGATCACCTCCAGGTTGTACGAGTGAATGGCCTTTCGAACCTTCGGCCCGAGCTGCCTGGGCGCGTCCGTGAACGCAGGCGCCGAGGCGAGGAAGGCAGCGTCGGCGGCTTTGTCGGAAGCCTTGGCTTTTGCTTTGGCCAATTTTGCCTGTCGGTTTGGACTCGGCGCCGCCATCTGGCATGGAGCCCTTCCCATCATCTGCGTACTACACCCGGAGCACAATGAAACCGTCGGGCATGTAGAAGAACAAGAACGGCTGCAGGCGAACCGCCCACGCATTCGCATCGAGGAAACTCTGGCCATCACTTGACTCCAAGTACTTCGTATACTCCTTGATGCAGAAGCCTTTCTCGAGGACGGGGCCAACCTCGGACAACTGGACATGGGCCGGCTTCTCTGTTGCGTAGACCATGGCCGCGACGCCCGGCAGCGCGAAGGCGGAGGGCCCCTGACCGCATCAGCCCATGCGGCCTGAGAGCAGCCAGGGCTCGCACCCGTCTCCTGTGCCGACCTGGCCGAAGATGCGTTTGAACTCCTCGGCGTCAGTCAGCCCCTCGATGTTCACGACGGCCCCTGCCCACGATGGATTGCTGGTCAGCGCGGCCTGCATCGCTGCCATCTTGTCTTTGACCACCTGGCTGTCGCCGTAGATCTTGGCGAGCTCTGCGATGGTCTCGTGCCCAGTGGGCCAAAACGCAAACTTATCCAAGTCGACTTCCCCCCTCGGCTTCCCGATCTCCAACGCCATGGCGGTCTGGCGGCCGTCGTCCTCAAGCCCAAGGCATTGGGCGACGACGTCACCCTCGGCCCCCTGCAGCGCGTAGATCACCGGGCTCAACTTCTTGCCGCGCAGCTTTCCGAAGCCACCGTTGACCCGGCGCTTCTCGTTGGCGTACTTGGCCCAGTCAACCTTCTGACCGTCCGCGCGCTCCTTATCGCGGACCTCCTTGTCGCAGAAGTTCACGGCCGACCTGGGCTCGCCCCTCCTCTTGGCGAGGTCTTTCAGCTGTGCCTGCAGCGCCGCCGCGCTTTCCATGCGCCCACTGGTCTCGCGAGGCTTGACCATTTTGGCGTTGTCCAGCTGCTTCTTAATGCTATCGAGGGTCGCGCCGATGCCCCCCTCCAAGGCCGCGGGCTGCAAAGGGAGCAGGTCGCCGTCGATGTCCTTCTTCTGGATCTCGATGGCCATCGCCTGCGCGCTGGACTTCACCCCCTTCGGGGTGCGCGAGGGGCGCAATGGGGGAGCGAGAGGAGGGCTAGGGGGCGGAGGCGGAGTGGGCGAGAGGGGAAGGGAGGAGGTGGAGGAGGAGTTGGAGGATTGTCCCCAAATGGAAGTGCGATTGGGCCCTCCCCAGGTTGGAGCTCCCGAGCTGAGCTGCCATGCCCGCCAGGGTCTGGGCGAGGGACTGGCGCTGCTCGAGGAGCGAGCTTGACGCCCTCGGTCTTCCCCTCGCCGTCGTCTGGAAGCGCCGCGCCAGCAGCGCCACTCTTGCTGCCCCTGTGCTTCTTGCCAGGCGGGTCGCGGTCATGAACATCGTCGCCTGCTGGCTCCGTCCGCCCGCGAGCGCGCTCTGCGCCGCCGGGCGAAGACGGGCCACCGCCGACTCCGCGTCTGGCCCTTTCCAAAGTCTGGTTGCCCGAGAGTCGGCGGTGACGATCTTTCACCCAGACCAGCTTGCGGTTGCGTGTGTCCGCCATGTCGTGGGCGTCCTCGACCACTTGGCGATCGCGCAGCTCGTGGAAGTCGTCCGAGAGGTCAGCTGAGTCGAGATCGTTGTCAGACTCCCCCCTCCTCCACGAGTGTCTTAACATGCGCGTGCCCCATATGCATCGACGCCCATGTCATTCCACAAGTCGAGTCGGGACACGTTGGAACGGCATGGGGTGGACGCGCGCGTGGCCCCGTGCATGTTGAGACCCTCGTGTCCTGAGCTGCTTGTACTTCCTCATTGTCACGCCGACGTCGTCCTGCACGCCCACGGTCTGGTAGATCTTCGACTGCTCGGTGAAGTTCGCGGCGACGCGGGCCAGCGCCTTCTTTTACGCCATGTGCTTGTCTGATCTGAAGAACTCCTGCCTGCGCCAGGCCCCAGGATCCTCGGTCATCTGCTTTTTGTCGTCCACGACGTCCTGCTTCTCGTTGGGCATCTGCTGCAGGCGGCGGTGGTTGGCACGAACTGTGGCGAAGCACGCCTGGCCGAACATCGCGCCCCAGGCTACCTTGTAGCACGGCTCCGAAGACTCGCAGAGGTGGCAAGTAATCTCTGTCCCATTTATCTCCTGTGACGGCCTCCTAGACATTGATGTCCGCGCAGATAAAGAAGAGCCAACTTCGCCAAAGGATTCAAATCACAGTCCATCGTTCCTGCTCGACTGTTCTAAACCCAAATGCGGAGAACAAGCGCGTGGAATCCTCCAAGACCAGTGATTCAAATTCAGCCACAACGGCTACGAGGATAGAACAAACACGCGGTACATTGAAACCTTGGACGCACTGGAACACAAACTTGCAAGAATGCATTTCCAGGCCGGCCACGAGCCGCAACATCCGATCGAAGTTGGAAGCAACATAATGCACGTGTCAAGGTTGGTGCCACCGTTATCCCCTCCTCGTGGGTCCTCCCTCTTATCGTGCTTGTGTTTGCCGCCCCTCCTCCTGCTCCACGCCTTCTTCCCCCCTCCTCTCCCATCGCGTCTTCGTCCTCGTCGTGTTCCGTGATCCTCCTGTAGCCGTTGTCCTCTTAATTCTTTCGGTGTTCCATTCCCCCTTGCCTTCCCGGAATTTACACGTTCCCCCCCCCCCTGTCCGGCGCATCTCTGGCGTCGCCCATAAGTGCACGGACCGATCCGCATGGGGCAGGCTCGGACAGTCGGACCGCGCCGAGAAATGTGGAGTCGGCGCAGACTGAGTCGGGCACCGGAACGGACGCGGGGGCGACCCGCATGACGCAAGAGAGCCATCGAGCCGACAGCGCGCGCATCCGAAGCTGCGCAATACTGTTTGGACTTCCCCAAAGAACTCGTAATATTAAGTGCCGCCCAACTATTTTCACGTTTGCTGGGGGCGCACTGGGGCGGTGCATTCGGTTTCGAGAAGAGCACTGCGTGTGCGCAGTATGCGCGTTTAGGTGGACTGCGGTTTTGGGGGAGGTGATGCATTTTATGTTGCGGCGTGGGTTTCTTTTCTCGCGTGACCGACATCGGCGCCACCTCGCGCCCCTCGCGCGGGCCCATGGCCCGCGCGACGGGTGCGATGCAGCACTGGTGTATTCTGCCACCCTGAAAGCGTGGAAACTGAACGTGAAAGGGGGCGGTTTGAGTTGAGCGCGCCAAGCGTTCATGTGAGCCTTCAAACCAATAGTGTATTGTTTGCCATGTTGATGGTGCGCCATTCGCTACGCAGGCGCGCGCGCGCGCGAACGCGCGTCTTCGCGCGCCCGCCCGCGCGTGGACAACGCAGAACTCCCTTTGCGCGCGCGCGGCGTCGCGCGTGCGCCGGGGTGGCTGTATTGTCAGTGTCAGAAAACACAAGCCCGAACCCATGTTAACGTGGAAATCCACTCGGCTACCGTTAAGAGTACTGCCCAGTTCCGCATGGCGACTTCTTTCGCGAGGACAACGCAGAACTCCCCGCGCGCGTGCGGGTGACGCGCGTCGCCCGCGCGCGTTCGTCGGTCACCGTTAAAGGTTTCATTCGGATTCCCCGACCAGCATGGCGATTCTTTCAGAGTCGACGGCGGAGGGCTTTCAACGAATGCGGGCCGCCGCGCGCGCGGCGGCGCGAGTGCGCGGAGAGCTTCGTTTTTTCCACACCATCCTGTGGTGTTGGGTCCTCGTTTTGAAGAGACGGTGGCCCGCGTCTCTCCTCCTCTCCCCCTCCTCCCCCTCCTCCTGCGTGTGCCCGCATGCGTCCCGCGCACCCATTTCGGCACGCCGCTCGCACGTTTCGTGGCCCCATAGAGAGCTCCACCGAAGGTCCCAGCGGGTGTGCCCGCATGCGTCCCGCACACCCATTTCGGCACACCCCTCGCAAGTTTCGTGGCACCATACGGAGCTCCACCGAAGGTCCCAATGGGTGTGCCCGCATGCGTCCCGCACACCCATTCCGGCACACCCCTCGCGCGTTTCGTGGCCCCACAGGGAGCTCCACCGAAGGTCCCAGTGGGTGTGCCCGAATGCGTCCCGTACCCCCATTTCGGCACACCCATCGCACGCTTCGTGGCCCCATCCCATTTCGGCACACCCCTCGCACGTTTCGTGGCCCCATGGGGAGCCCCACCGAAGGTCCCACATGCGTCGGCACACTCCTCCACCCATGGGGAGCTCCACCGAAGGTTTGGGTGTGCCCGCATGCGTCCCGCACACCCATTTCGGCACACCCCTCACAAGCTTCGTGGCCCCATAGGGAGCTCCACCGAAGGTCCCAGTGGGTGTGCCCGCATGCGTCCCGCACACCCATTTCGGTAAACCCTTCGCACGCTTCGTGGCCCCATGCGGAGCTCAACCGAAGGTCCCAATGGGTGTGCCCGCGTGCGTCCCGCACACCCGTTTCGGCACACCCCTCGCACGTTTCGTGGCCCCATGGGGAGCCCCACCGAAGGTCCCAGTGGATGTGCCCGCATGCGTCCCGCACGCCCATTGCGGCACACCCTTCACACGTTTCGTGGCCCCACAGGGAGCTCCACCGAAGGTCCCAGTGGGTGTGCCCGCATGCGCCCCGCAAACCCATTTCGGCACACCCCTCGCACGTTTCGTGGCCCCATAGGGAGCTCCACCGAAGGTCCCAGTGGGTGTGCCCGCATGCGTCCCGCACACCCATTTCGGCACACCCTTCGCACGTTTCGTGGCCCCACAGGGAGCTCCACCGAAGGTCTCAGTGGGTGTGCCCGCATGTGTCCCGCACACCCATTTCGGCACACCCCTCGCACGTTTCGTGGCCCCATACGGAGCTCCATCCCAGTGGGTGTGCCCGCATGCGTCCCGCACGCCCATTTCGGCACACCCCTCGCACGCTTCGTGGCCCCATAGGGAGCCCCACCGAAGGTCTCAGTGGGTGTGCCCGCATGCGTCCCGCACACCCATTTCGGCACAGCCCATCGCACTTTTCGTTGCCCCATGGGGAGCCCCACCGAAGGTGCCAGTGGGCGTGCCCGCATGCGTCCCGCACACCAATTTCGGCACATTTCGGCACACCCCTCACACATTTCGTGGCCCCATGGGGAGCTCCACCGAAGGTCCCCGTGGCGCAGTCCGCATGCGTCTCCCTCACCCAGTACAACGCTTCGTGGCCCCATTGGGGCCCCACCGAAAGTCCCCGTGGCGCAGTCCGCATGCGTCTCCCTCGCCCAGTACAGCGTTTCGTGGCCCCGCAGGGAGCTTCACCGAAGGTCCCCGCGGACGACCCGCGCGCGTCGCTGGGGCCCTCTCGGGGCGACCAGCGCGCGTCGCAGGAGCTCCGCGCTGCGTTCTACCCAGCGCCTCGCCCGCCCGTCGTCGCTCAGCCCAGCGGCAAGAGCCTTGCCCGCAATCAGCCAGCCAGCTCTCTCTGCTCCGCGCAGCGGACGACCCGCGCGCGTCGCTGAGGCCCCTCCGGGGCGACCAGCGCGCGTCACGGGGACTAGCCAGCTAGCTCTCTTTGCTCCGCGCAGCGGGCGACCCGCGGGCGTCGCTGGGACCCCTCCGGGGCGACCAGCGCGCGTCGCGGGGACTCCGCGCTGCGCTGCGCCCGCAGCCTTGGACTTTTGAGTGCGCGGGCCAAGAGGGGATAGAAGAAGGGGGGGAAGCGGGCGCGATCCTCGCGGGGGGCGCGCCGACATTGACGTCGCAGCGCGCGGGCGACGTCGTCGGGGGGTCCCGGGGGAGCTCCTTGCGGCGGCCACGCCCAGCGTCACGAGTACTCAGAGGCAGTCATTCTCAAACTATTGACATTCATATACAAGCACACCATGCTTTGTCATATTCGAATTCATGCACGTAGACTCGCTCGCACGCAGATTCATTCACAGTCAGACGCACTCGCGCTCATATTCACCCGCGCTCAGTCTCCCTACGTACTCAGATCAATTGTTCTCTTTCGCGTTGTGTACCACGCCATTCATTTCGGCACACCCCCAGCACGGTTCGTTGCCTCATAGGGATCACCACCGAAAAAGTGAATCACAATTGCGGTACTCACATCTGCATATGGTTGGGTCCTCCGTCAGGCGATTTTTTCTCGAGCGCGACAATCAGCGCCGCCCGCGCGCGCGCTGCGGCTCCGAAAACTGCGTGGTGACAACCCATCGTTTCACTCGTATTCTGAAGGCCTCAGCATGGAATTCTACCTTGTGCAACAATCGATGTCCCTTATCGCCCGCGCGCGCAGCGCAGAAACCAATGACGAGTACCCGTCTTAACCTCGAACACTGAATGGTGATAGCCCATTGTTTCATTCGTATTCTGAGGACCCCAGCATGGAATTCTATAGTGTGAAACAATAAACGTTCCTCATCGCGCGCACGCGCGCGCTCTGGCACCCCCAACACAGCAAGCATCACACCATACCCAACTTAACTTCGAAAGCTGAACGGTGAAAAACCAATTGTTACACTCGTATGCTGAGGGCCCCAACGCGGAATTCTTCACCGCGGAACAAGTCGCTTCCCTTATCGCGAGTACGCGCACGCGCAAGGCCACTCTGGCTAAAGCTGGAGACCCTACGGCCTGGGGGTGACTCTCGCCGAGTCGCGATGAGGTCACTCGCCGCAGAACACCCCCCGATGACGGCGGCCATTTGCCTGGCCCCGTTGGCGGGCCGCCCGCCTATGGCATGTGTGGCCCCTCGACGCTCGCGGGCGCGTGGCCCGAGCGCGCCCCGCCGCTGGCGCCGCGGGCAGCTGGCTGCAGGGCGTGCGGAGCGGATGCAAGCGAGTGCACATCTCCTTCAGCTCCTCCGCCCCCATCAGGTACCTCGTGAAGCACTTCTGCTTCATCGTCTCGCTGTTCTACCCATGGTTGATATTGATTGCGCGGCCCCTGTGGCCCCGAGCACTGCGCCGCTGACAATGGTTGAAGCTGGATGCGCAGCTTCTGTGAGTTTGGGCGCGTGCTGTCTATCGCCGCGGCCCTGTGGCACGATATCGGAGGTATACATCCCATGTCGGGACATGCTGAGGCCCCCCTTGCACGGGTGGTTGCCCATCGCCTACGTAGACGAGATTCTCAGG